GGACATCCACATTTGGTATAGTGCCATGAGGAAAACGTTTGGCCTTGCAAGCTGGCCAAAGGCCTAGAATAGGCAAGTGAGGAGGCATCAAACACTTCGTAGTTTTGTCAAACCTCTTCTGACAGCTGCAGCTGCATGCCTTGCGACAGGCCTCCTTTCATCTGTGTTTCTTTCGTTCCACAATTCGAGACCAACCTGGTTGGCATCGGCCAAGACAACATCTCCGCACTTTGGCAACCCTTCTTTCAACCAATTCAAGCACCAGTAAGCCTGCAACATCCACCATCACCCCTTCGATGATGCCATTTGACATAGGGGTTGACCACTGGTTTGATCAGCCCGTCTATTCCAACACCAGACGAAGCTTAAAGTTTTTTGGGTTACTGTCGCCCCTTTGACGGCTCGGCGATCCTCAAGGGATCGATGAGGAAGGATCGGTTCCAGCCCAACTGCCCCAAACGTAAGATCATGTCATGAACAACCAACCACAGAATGTCAGGAAAAAGTAATCATATTATGAATAAGTACAAGAAAAACACACACAAACAATCACACTCAGGCACACCTGTCACCCATCCATCCAGATTTGCCACCCAAATGTGTTACGAGCTGTGTTGGTCACTGCACTGCACGCCCATCCAACATATCCGGGGGCTTCACCCCACCCAGCCTCGCAAAGCATCAAGAGCCGCAACTTCAATGAGAGGCTCAGAGAGGGATCCTCTGCGGGAGGCCAAGTGACGTGCGTAAATCAAGCGGTTCCAGAGAAGTGCGCATCAACAAGGCATTGAGGCGGCTGAGATTGATCGGACCTGCAAATATCGCAGGAGCTCCTTCTCCAGCTTCACATTGAGGCCCTGAAAGTGTTGGAGCAGCGAACATGACTTGGTGGAGACGCGAGTTGCAACGGCAGGTTCGGCTTTGTGCATGCCCAATTGCAGCGAAATTTCAAATGAGACTTTCTTCTGACAAAGGCCTTCACCTCAAAATCCTAAGAACCCTCGGTCCCTCACAGAAAAAGATGGCAGAAAACAAAACGATGTGATCTTGAACACTATAAACCATCTGTATCATTGCCACCAGTACTATCTCGCACAAGTCAAAAAATGCCACAAACCGACTCGTCCGTGCCTTTGTGACCAAGTCCTGCTCTAAGGCAATCAAATCCACCAACTTCCTGGGGACGAATCCACCATTTTCATGGGAGCTCTGTTTCGGACTCCAACGACCAGGCATCTAAATGTCTCGAAAGACCAGCAGGTCGGAAAGTGCCAAGCACAAGGGGAAAGACTTCAAAACGCCATCAACCAACAGTAGTATATAGGGATCTTCAACCTTGGGTACCTTTTCTCTTGGATTATCTTGGAGTCATCAGGCAATGGACCTGCAGCTTTCGGGTAACTTGACCCGACTATATTATACAACTCACAGGTCGACTGGATACTTCTCATCCAAACAACATGGCTCCACCTCGGAAATCGCACGAGTCTTTTCTTGAAAAGAACAGTTGTGCGCTGTTTCATGTTTTACCATCCCTGCAGAAAAAGCACCCAAGAGTGCTAAGCGGCAAGAGTACTAGAGTATACTAGAGTACTATACAAGCGCCTGCACGCGCAGGTTCCTCTAAACAGCAATACTTGGTCGGGACCCGACGGTCCGACGGTGGACTTCTGGGCTTTCCCACTGCGACTGGAGGACCTCCGAAAAGCGACCAAAGCACTCAGTCACCGGTGTTTTCAGGCATGTAGCTTCACCGGTTTTTTCTAGTAGCTTCTTGTTCCTAGTGTAAGGCCAGGAGTCCCTAGTAGCGTCCTTGCTCCTAGTAGCGATGCCAGGAGCCCCTAGTAGCTTCTTAGTTACTAGTAGTAATGGCCTCCACCCTAGTAGCGATGGCCTCCAACCTACTAGCTGCTAGCTTCTTATTGGAAAATATATGAATCATGAACATATAACGACCCAACGGTACACATCGGACATTGGCTTGTCAAAACAGCGATCATTTTGCTTTATGTGGGTCCAAGCAAAATCCGCTCAGTTCCAGAGACGAAGGGAGCTATCGATCCGCCGTAGGGTGATCGCCTTGACCTTTACCACACTCGATCACAAACCTTGCCACATGACGCACACCAGGTAACGCTGCACTGGAAACAATTGACAACCTTTTCCAATTCGTCGCATCTTCAACGATCTTTGGGTCCGCCCCCCCAGACATGTTCTGGTGCAGCTTGACCTTCATTCACCCTGGTCGCTAGTGAGTAGCAACTGATAAGGGGCATTGCTCCCCGCCAAGGATGCCCTCCTTGAGGTGTTTCAACATGGATGGCGCAAACCCATGGACTCTCTAGGCCTGAGCAAGTCTTGTCTGAGATATTCAGTGATGTTTGAACACCCAAAAAGGAAAGTAGCACAACCAATTCTATGCTCTGGGTTCAAGGGCCAACACCCAGCATCACCCAGCAATATGCAACCTGTCTTGACTCTTTGCACCCCTTCAAATTGCCTGACGCCAGGGACACCGGCGATCCTTGGGCGCCTCTGAGCAACGCTCGCAGATCTCCATGTGGATCTGAAGCTTCTTGAAGCGCGTCTGAGCGCGACGATGGCCGCGACATCCGATGGCCAGGAGAGGAGGACCGGCGCGGACGGCCCATGGAGATCACGGCGCCATGAGAAGTGGCAAAAGCGGTTTGCACTTCAAGTCGATGGGCAACCACGGGGGTGTGCAACATTGGAGCTTTCTGAAGCTGGAATCATTCACTACAGTCAGTCACTACCGTAAAGAGTCTGAGGTAGAGAGAAGATGAGAGAAGTCCTTTGCGGATCCACTAAGTCCAGAAGTCTCAGATTCTGCACGTTTCCATCCTTTGCATCGCCGAAACCCTGCGCCCCGGCCCTGCCTTGTGCTCCGGGAGCGACTGGACGGCACCTAGTGCTCGAGACGGCGGGCCAGTCACAGAGATTGCTCACTTGAAACATCCAATGTCCATCCCGATGTCCCTTTGGGAATCATGGAGGGTATGTACCATATACCGAACTGGTGATCAATCACCTGGTGATCCGCTCTAGGATAATCAATCAACCATCTATCCGTTGGGTCCCAGGAAAATCCGAGCATCTCAGGAGCACAGCCGGATGGGATGCTCCGGGTGCTGAACCACCGAACCAACGCACGCTTCCACCGCTTAGCTACCGTCCTTCGGGCTGCGGAAAGCCGAGAAAAACCAGACCTCGGACGAGTTTGGGAGATCGTCCCATGCGCATCACTATGAACCGATTTTGCATATTATAGTAACAGGATAGGGGCCCACCTTGTGATAGGGTGCATATTATGTCCACCAGATGTACAGCATGTGGCCTTGCAAAACATACCCTAACCTCCAAGTCCGGTGGAGCAGAAGGGCCCTGCCCTTGACCCACTCCAGAGCGGCCCGGCATCCCGGCACTGCGAACACAGCCGTGTACTCAAAGAACAAATATTGCGATTCTGTGGTTTTTAGGGAAGCTGATAAAACACACCCCAGTGGGTCTTCTGCTTCGGGGGAGTGATTTGATACTCACAGACCTCATCCCCAAGACCCGCCTGAGGTTGGTGCTTTTCTTGTCCTCCTGTCCTATCCACCTGGTTCTGTGCCAAGCCGCTGATTGTGGAGGACACCATCCTCAGAATCCAGTCCACAAATAAATGAACGGATGCAAAGGCAAACCAATGATGCAGCAAAAAGAATGCCTCTTGGAGGAGGTCTTTGATTCCACCCAATTTCGCTGTCCGACTGGATTCCCTTGCAAAGCCACATCAATGAGTTTGCTTATCCGACGTGACTTCGCATGGCCTCGCATGGCGTTGCATCGCTTCGCTTGCTCGCTTCGGGACAGGCCCTTCTTTTACGGTATATCAAGACGTGGCTCGTCCCACCGGCCGACTCCACTCGACGAGTGGAGGGGAAAGCGACTGAGGTGTCCATCCATCCCCAACCGATCTCCCAGCTTTGAGGCGCTCCCGCTCGACCTGTCTGCGACCCAACAGGAACTCGCTCCCCTCGACCCCTCACCAAAACTCTTTCCCTTTTCCCCCAGTCACTGCGCCATCCGTGCCTGGAGTACCTCTCCAACCGTGCGCCAAGATGCTTGGGCATCGAAGAGGAACCCACAGAGGAGGAGGTGGTCATCGAGCTCTTCGCCAGCCTCATGTGCTCGTCCTGACCCACAGGTTCCCGCGGGACGCTTCCCACACGTGGTGCGTGGCACTTCCAGCTGTGGATGCAGCCGAGTCGAAAGGTGCAGAGAGGAGAGCGGTCATGTTGAATGGCTTGGATGGCTTTGGTGAGACAAGATTGACAAGATTGAAGAGAGAATCTCTTGATGTGTCTGTGGTGAAAGGTGTTTTTTCCTGCATAACCAGAGACTTACAAATCAATGTCGCTCACCACTGGAAATCAACAAGCGGTTGGAAGCGTGTAATCATCAAAAGGCTGGTTGAGACAGGACACACAAGAGCCACAGAAGTGTTTGATCAAAAATTACACAATGAAAAAACAGCATAGTCACAGTGTGAGACTTCTATATATTGTTTTATGCTGCATGATGTCCCCCAAACTTAAACCTCATCTCTCACGTGAAAAAGCAAAACCAAGGTGCTTGGCACTGGACAAATAGCCACTCGGCCTGGGACTGTCCAATCTATGAACTGACTACAGCAATTCACCCCCAAAGCAAAATCTCCATCATCCAATCCTCTCTTGTCAAAAAGCGCAACCCTCATCTCCCAAAAGCGCATGGCAGCTCCGGCCGAATTCGTTTTCCGTCGCTCCCCCCGCCCGGCCGCGGGCGGAGTTCAGCTCCGCGCGTTCCGCGGAACGGTCGCGCGAGCGGGTCACTGTGCAGGTCGTCATGGCGGCCGAGCGAAGCAAAGCTTATGGCACATTTCGCGGTGGGCTCGGAGCGGCCTGGCTCCAATGGAGCAGCCGGTACGCTCCGATGACATCCAAAAACCTTGGGCGACCGCCCTCAAAGCCACACCGGCTTTGTGATACATAGCTCTTAATAGCAATTATATACTATTCTATAATAAGAAACATCCTATACTTTCTCCCGACCAAAATCCTGATCAAAAGATCCTCTCTGTGTACACTTTTCTACTCACAAGTTCCCTATCATATCCTAGAATGAACATATTTAGCAAACTCCTCGGCAGCAAAAAAGAATCTCAACCACAATCCCTAACACCACTAAATGAACATATGGCCATCATGGCCCCACTCAAAACAGACTCTTCGACAGAGTTCTTTTGGTTCACTTCGACATACTTCGACCGTTGTCCCTCGACCATCACCATGGCCTCACGCGTCCGGCGTCTCGGGCGTCTCAGGAGCCCAAGGCTCCAGGAGCTTCGCCAGCAACCTGGGTCGCTTCGACCGAAGAAAACACGTGTTGCATGTGTGTTGTGTGTGGGGGGTGACTGTGTCGTGTGTGGGTGTGTGTGATGTAATGCGAGCATGTGATGTGATGGGTGATGTGATGTGATGTGATGTGATGTGATGTGATGTGATGTGATGT